GCTAAGATGCGTTGTTCAGCTGAAACCGGCGGATACAGATGGTCGTCCCCCGAAAGCAGATGAGTCCGAATTACTGGGGAAACAGAAGCAAACAAAGTTAGTTCAAGTCTCAGATATGCATAGAGCTTGGCAGGACGTTAATAATGAATATCAGCTGCCTATCAGCTCCAAATCACAAGAGACAGCAATAGGAACAGCAGCATCAGTAGAACCACAAGTGAGCACACAAGTCAACAAAAAGAAGCAGCGAAAGGGCGACAGGTCAAAAACTACTAACCAAAGACAGGACGAGTTGCAATCGGCATCAAGTTCATCATACTCATCAAGCGACGATGAGCATGAGTACGAATACAAGCAAAAGCACAGATCATACCCTCCACCCTCTCCTCTTCAGCTAGACGATGATCAGCCAATTGAGTCATCTAGTGCCACATCTGGTCCGGATACGCCAGCAGCTCAAAGTGATGAAATGTATGACAATTTGGATAAAAATGGTGCTGCCTATGCGCAACCAGACACCGATCCAGATATTGTTCAGAAGGCTAATGGAGAAAAAGAAGCAGCTGCATCCGCCGAGTTTCCAGAAGCGAGGTCCGAGCTAATCGACATAAATAAGAGCGTTGTGAATGTAGCGAACTCACCGGAGAGTAATTTGCCAGCCGCCGATTCGACAACAGTTGTCAATGCGTCGCCTTTTAAGCTTATTAGTTTTGACTCAAGTGTCGAGGGGTCTCAGGTGGCTGCCCCAAACAGTGCTGGCTTGAACTTGGGCACAAGCAAATGGAAATTGTTAAAAACTTTGAAAGAGCGTAAAATCGAGGAGAGAAACAATCTGGATAAAATGAAGGAAGAAGAAATGGCTAAAGACAAGGAGAAGGTACAATTTGGAAGTGTATATATATAAATAAATAAATAAGTTTAATTATATATGTATAAATAAATAATGGAATATTCTTTCTGTATGTAATCTTGACTCTTCTATAAATTGATGATTCTAACTTCTAACCCTCGAAAGTTTTAAGCCTATGACACCTGAATTGAACCCTAAATATGTTAAAGATCCATTAGTGAACTTTTATAAGATTGTGTACATTTCATAGGGATTAGCTAGAAGAAACACATCAATGTGACTATGTGCGTGTGTGTTCCTTCTATTTTGATCAATTTATCAAATATTATTCATATGTATATCCATGCCCATTGTATGACCATTGACAAATACAAAAAAATTTTTTTGCTTGATCAATGAAACCCTGAGCTGTGAATCGTGAATGGAAAATATGAAGTCGGCAATGTTTTTGAATTTCACCTTATCTATTAACTTAGATTTTGCAAGCTTAAATATCCAATAAATAATAGTCATTTAATTGTAATAATAAAATTAATAATAATAATAATAATAATAATATTAATAATAATAACAATAATTATACAATTAATAATAATAACAATAATAATAATAATTATAATACCAATACTTCACATATTTATTTGATAGAATGGCACCGGAACAGGCGATGTGGGCCTACGCTCCAATGGGCATCCGGGGGATAATCCATTCTACAGCAATATTGACAGTATGCCGGATATACGTCCACGGCGCAAATCTATTCCCCTTGTTTCTGAGCTGGTAAGTTCGATTGTTCAAATCTGTAACACAGACTTAAAAGCATATATGTCTCCATATAATATGTATATACTCCTTTACTATATTAATTTGCATATACTATATACACATTTACATCAATTATAAATTATTAAATTTAAAACACTTTATGGCCTTTTATACGGATGTTAAATGTTTGTTTTCTTTTGTACGATCAAAATTATTTAAATGGACCACAGGTGCTCAAGGTATACAACGATTATCGAATTTTCAACACTATTCTCAAATTTTCCATTTCGATTTCAATTTTAATTCACCTATTGTTAACGACTATTATAAAGTATTCACAATTTTCGCAAAGTTTTGCATTTGTTTTTATCAAATTGTAGTTTTCATATCAATATATATAAATATAAATACATATATATATATCACATATATATCTAATTTACTGTTACCATATATATTTTATTTATAATAAAGTTTACTTAGACGGCTCAAATTAGTTCTTGATTTTATTTCATTTTATTGAAGATGCGTTACCACATACGTACGTACGTTAATTGTAGTGTTGCTTAATGGATCAACAAAACTTATGGAAAGCTTTTAATGTATATAGTATAGTCACAAATTCAAAATTGAATTCAATCATTCTTAAACGTATTAAACTGGTCTGGCATGCGTTAGTTCGGTGCTTGCAAAAGCCAATTGCTTAAAATAGTTTACGTAAAGTATTAAATAGAATATGCCAGTCCAGATCTACGTTAATATTACTGTTCTTTGAATTTTATCTGCCATAATATGCTATTATTTTCTTCCACCTAATAAATATTGTAAAACATTATTTTTTGTATTGCTATATATGTATAGCAAATCTCTAGGGCTACTCTTCTAATCGGGCGATCTCGATGAGAGCACTAGATTTTTACTATTCTATATACATATGTATATGTATGTACGTACCATATGCACTTGCTAAAATATTTGAAAGCAGTTAATAGTTAATTTTATTTTAGTAACTGAATTTTTTTATATGTTCAAATTGCTTTGCTTGAATTGTTGCATTTTTGCTATAATTAAGATTAGCATTAACATTACAATAGTCGACAAATAATTATACTTCTATTTTCGAACTTCACTTAACAATTAGAACGTATGTTCCTCTCATATTATAATTCGATTTACATATTCGATATATGTATATACATATATATAGACAATGGCAGCTACAAAACGGAATGCTGGACTCACATCGGCAGTGCCCCGGGCAACGCTCAATGATGAAGAACTGGTAAGAGGCTCGATATTACATACTCATATATGTATGTATGTATGTATTATATTATTTACAATATTTTTCTGTTAAGATATTTGACGATTGAAAGAGTATATAAATGAATAGAATAAATACATTGCACATATACAAGTAAGAAAGCTCTAGTCGAGACTGCTCGACTTCGAAATCCCCTGAACCCTTCGAGGAACTGATAGTTCAATAATTCTTGACGTCTTTCTGCTTACAAAAGAAACACACACACTCACAGACACATATGTATGTATGTATGTATACGCAGGCACAAATAAACACGCATGGCCTGCAGTATGCTGCAGTGTGGGCCTAGTATGGAGTTTAATTGTTTAATAGCTTTTTTGTGGATGGACTATCTTCATGAAACTTTTAGATTGCGATTATAACAAGCAAAGCACGTTTCTATTTTGTTGAAATATGTACATATGTACGTATTTTACACATTTTGTTTCAAGGGGTTGGATATAGGGATGGGGGTAGGGACACGATATCGAATGAAAGGTATCGATCGTCTACTTATAAGCAGTGTTGCCGTTTTCGGCCACATCTGGCTTCTTTTCAAGTGCGATTACGGGAAAAATCGCGGAAAATCGCGGATAGCGGAAAATCTGGCTTATTTATGAATCGAATCAGCTAATACATATTTTGCTTAATATCTGATACTAGTTACCGATTAATAGACAAACTAACAAGCTGGCAACTATTAAAAGCTAACATCACAAGTTCTGCAATGCTTTCATCTCTAACATATAGTGGTTAGATAGATTTGCATACATTCGTTACCTTGGTGGAATGCCGAAGTTGAAGGGTCTTTAGCCAAGTCAATTTAATAAAATATTAAATAAGAAATAGGATTAACATTGATACGTTATATTATATTTGGGCACTAACCGTAAAACACAAAGACCGGACAAGTAGTGTAAAGCATTTTGAACAATTTTTTTTCGAGCATTGCGTTTTACCATTAACCGGAGAACACATAGACCGGACAAATTGAAAATTAGCGCCCCAGACAACTTCGTATTTGCTCGGCTCCTCACTTTTAGCTTCGGGTTACTAACATATACGAAATCATGCGCTCGGCAGAGATGGTCGAATGTTGAACAAAAAACCCTTCTATGCTCAATTTGTTTTTATTTTCTCTCTGCTTTCTACTCTCCCAAATCTGTATGTATGCATATCGCTGTTAAAATGCTTTTCAGTACTTTTTCGGTCTATGTGTTCAACAGTGTTGCTAACATTTCCGGGCAAGAAAATGCTAAATTACCCTGTCAAACCTGCTAGATCAAATTCAAGAATAGCCAAAAATATAGCCATTTCAGTTTTTATACCCTGAACGCATTGAAAATGGGAAATCAGGGTATAAAAGTATATATATTCTTGATCAGGGTGACGAGCGGAGTCGATATAGCCCTGTCCGTCTGTCCGTTCGTCCGTATGAGAGCGTCGATCTCAGAAGTTATAAGAGCTAGAGACTTGATTTTTTTTTAATGTCCGTAAAAATAGTTCATCCACAAGAAAAGTTATTAAGCAATTAAGTTCTAATAGTAGTCACACACTGCAGCCAATGAATCTTTATCCGTGCGTGCGTATGTGTGTGTGTGCTTGTGTTGTTTCTCGTGTACTTTGGAGGCACTTTAAATTAGGCTGATTCGATTTTTAAAAATGCCAAATTTCCCGCAAATTTTCCTGCAATTTGCAGGTGAAAAAAGCCAGATCTGGCCTGTAAAAGGCTAAGTTGGCAGCCCTCGTGTTCTATGGCTAGTGATACAGCTTTAGAGATACTTGATAACTACAAATATCGAAACCAAAATATCGAGTGTGAAATATCGGTATCGCCGTACGAACATACTATCACTAACCAGAGAACACATAGACCGGACAAGTAGTGTAAAGCGTTTTGCACACTTTTTTTCGGGAGTTATCTCCCAGACACTTCGTATTTGCTCGGCCCTTCACTTTTAGGTTCGGGTTACGAAAATATACGAAAGCACAATCATTTCGCGTCATGCGCTCGACCGAGATGGTCGACTGTTGAACAAAAGATCCCTCTGCGCTGAATCCCAGTGGCGGAAATGCCCATTATTTTGTCCATTACTCATGGATTACTTGTCGCCTGTGTGCATGAAAAGATCGATTACAAGCTGCCTTACTTTTTTAAGGAATGGCCGCTTTTTCTCCCGGGTGCATGAAATTATTGAATTTTGTAATGCAGAAAGTAATGAGGTGACGAAGTTTCCTTCGGCTCTCCATTACCCATGCGTATACTTTTTAAATATTGTAATGTAGAAATTCCGCAACCTGAAGAAAACGCCTTATACATTTTCAAAATCGCTTATGGGTTAGTAATGTGCGTACATTACAACACAATATACCTGCAACCCATTTTCCCACTATATAAAATGGCTTACTTCTTAATGCAATGTAATTGGAGAAATAATTGATTACTAATTGAAAGATAGAAACGCTTGAGTAATGCAGTATTTTTTGTTTTAATTTTTAAAAATTATTATTTATTATTTCTTAATATCTATAAATAAATGTATAGTCTTAAACTATGTATTATTACTATTTTATTATATCTATCTACATCTAAATCTAAAGCTATGTCTTATTATCTAGTTTGTCCTTATTATCGAACTTCTGCTTTGCAAGTCGACCTTTCTGGACCCGAAAGCAGTTTCTTATTGTACTTATATAGGTCTTCTTAGTGGACCCTTCGGTTTTTATAGCATCTGTAAATTAAACAATATTATTTTTTTTTTGTCATTAAAAATACATGTAAGATGATGTATACATTGCAGATACTTCCCTTTAAATTTACGTCCGCACGGCTCAACAATAGCAGAAAAGTGACGCGCCGCGGCGGGTAAAACGAAAACAGAAATCATCACACATATGCATTTTTGAACTTGTATTTACACTCATTAACACTATACACACAAAAGGAATAGGCATAGACAAAAAAACCAAACGAAAGAAGGCACGCATTCCATGCAAAAAACGGTAAAGTCCAAAACGAAATTCGGCGATTTCGTCGCGACGCAACGAAAGACGAAAATCGTTTGTTGGTTAGCGGGGAAGGGGCATACAGAAACGAAGTTGACAAGAGCTCGATTCTGTCGTATGAGTAGCACTTTTTATTTTGTACATTACAAATGCGCTGAAAAAAATGTTCATAGGTAATGCATTACTTTTTTGTCGTATGTAATGCATTATTTCAACAGACCTCATTCAGGTCGTCGCCACTGGGATGTTTCCCTTGCTCTCTCTCTCTCTCACGATGCTCTCTGCTCTCTCAAATATGTATATGTATGTATGCATGTGAGCACAAGCAGCAGCTCACGAAAATTGAAATTTGTTCGCCTTAGTTTGCCGTTTCTTCCCATCTTTGTGAAGAGTATTCCGAACTCTTTAAATCGTTTGTGTTCTCTGGTCAGTGAGTATATAAAAAATCGAGATTTTATAAAATACATTTAAAACTACACTTAAAGACCCTAGCTGTAAAGATGTAGGAGATATAATTTTATTACTGATTTTCGATAAGGTTTCTATCGATAACAAAATAACGGTAGTAATCAACGATTTTTGGGAAAAATCATATACATATGTATCTTCTGAGATTGACGAGTTAATACGTACGGACGAACAGACAGAGGAACAGGCTTAAATCGACTCAGCTTGTCGCCCTGATTAATATCACGCCTCCTTTTGCTGGTACTCTGATTGAAAATGGGTTCAGGGTATAAAAAGCAATTTCTTTACTGAATCATTTATTTATTTACTAGCTGGCCCGGCAAACGTTGCATTGCCCTCTATGTTATTTCTAGGTAAAAAATTGTTGAAAGCTATGTTGTTCAGGCGGGACCACTAATGGCAATGTCACTTTACCACTAAGGCAGCACAAACCGGGCGTTTCACCAGCAAACTTCAATGCGCCACAATGCTGGCAAACAACGTCCATTGGACCAATGCAAACTAAACGATTCAAGCTGTAATCAATGGTGCAATCATATCGAAACGCTGCTCGATTCAAATCAATCCTTGAACCATTTCTTATTGCCATTTCACGGGCTGCCTCTCTTTGAGAAGCACGAATTAAGGCCCTTCTTTGCTGGGTACTAACGCGGAGCCTTTCTCGGGCGATTTCTCGCTCTTCGTCAGATAAGTGACTCGCGCTATTCCGTTGCCTAATTGCATTATGGGTCCGCCGGGAAAGATTAGATCTTCTAGAACGCGGCATTTTTATTAATAGTAATACTGCCCTCGCACAAAACCATATAAAACAATCGATAAATAATTTACACAAATTTATGTTTGAGACAAACAAATACCTGAACTTTCGAGATATTTAGCTTTTGTAAAAGTCCAAAAATATAAAAAGCCAAAAATACACTTTTTAATAATTAAACTTTTTTTTTTTTTTAATTTCGAATTTTGAATTTTTTATTTATTTTTGATTAGTCAGGTTTTAATCTTTTGATTTTTTTTTTAATTTTTCAGATTTTTGATTTGAAATATTTATAAAGTTTAAAAGTCCAAAAATATAAAAAGCCAAAAATACACTTTTTAATAATTAACTTCATTTTTTTTTTAATTTCGAATTTTGAATTTTTTATTTATTTTTTGAACAGTCAGGTTTTAATCTTTTGATTTTTTTGAATTCTTGCAGATTTTTGATTTGAAATATTTTTGTTTTTGATTTGGAAAAAAATTTTTTTGTTTGTTTATTTATTTTTTTTTTTTTTTGAATAGTCTTTTTTTTTTTTTTTTTTTTTTTTTGTTTAATAGTCTTTTTTTTTTTTTTGTTGAATAGTCTTTTTTTTGTTTTTGTTGAATAGTCAGGTCTTCTCGAGGCTGTGCCGTAGACTGACTGACTACATTTGTTTATTTACTTCTATACAGGACCGAAACTGTCACTGTTGTCAAGGCTACTGAGTATAAATGGAAATTTGAATCTTTAGGGAAAAAACCGCGCTTTTCAAGTATTCGTCAAATTTTTTCAGTATTTTAAAGATCTACTGATCCGCCTCGTGGCGGAGACAAATCCAACAAATCAAAAACCATGAAAATTGGTCCAGCAGATCTCGAGTTTTAAGTGCTAATACACTTTTACACAACTCTCTTTTATATATATAGATTTAAAAAGATATTCACAAAACTGGAGTCAACTAAAATTAAAATAGCCTACAAAAAGTACATTATAACAATAATATCACTAACCCGATGGGGGTTTTTTTTTGCCAGTCCGGCTACCTATGCCACAATTCACAGCCAAATGTGGTCAGTGATACTATTGAAACTATGCAATGGAAAGCTTAAAAATTAGATATTAACAGAGCTTAAATATAGTTATTATAAAATTATAATAAATCTTAAGATTAAAGTATTAGTACAGAAAAGGAAAATTACAAATATTGCAAGAAATAGTGAACAGAACAAAAAATAAGAAATAACAAGTAAGAAAGCTATAGTCGAGACTTCTCGACTACGAGATCCCCTGAACCCTTGGAGCAATAGCTATTTCAATAATTTTTCGCGTCTTTCACCTTACACAAGAAACACGCACACACATATACGCACGCACGCACACACAGGCATACATACACACACACACGCATACACACACACATACACACACACAAACGCATACACACACACATACACACACACATACACATACACAAACACACACATATACACAAGCAAATACACACACAAGCACCCACGCATAAACACGCATGGGCGGCAGTGTGCGCTTACTATGAGAACTTAATTGTTTAATAACTTTTTTTGTGGACATACGATCCTCATTTTTCAGATTATGATTACAACATGGATATGCATGTATTTGCCAAAGCACAAGTCTCTAGTATTTGAAATACGTTTTTTACAAAAGTGAGGGTGAGGGGGTGGATATAGGGGTGGGGGGTAAATTTTAACAAAAACCGAAATTGCATAAATTGCATATAAGCATACATAACAAATTTGGAGACTAGCAATAAAGGTGTAGGAGATATAATTTTATAACTGGTTTTCGATAAGCGTTTTTATCGATAAAAAAGATCGGAATGAGTTATCGATTTTTAATGATAAACTTGACATCCGCATTGACATTTAAAAAAATTGAAGTCTTATATCTTCTGAAATCGACGCGTTCATACATACGAACAGACGGACGGACAGACAGACGGACAGGGCCAAATCGACTCAGCTCGTCGCCCTGATCAAGAATATATATACTTTATGGTGTCTGCCACGCCTCCTTCTGCCTGTTACATACATTTCAACAAAACCATTATACCTTGATTTCCCATTGAAAATGGGTTCAGGGTATAAACAGAAATGAGTAAAAGAAGAGACAAAAAGTAATATAGGATAGGATTGAGAAGTCACTACACATCGAAATGTATACCAGTGTTTATGCCTGGGCATTGCGATTGATTTCCCTAAGCTAAGCTAATAGAAAAGATTTTATTTTAGCAAGAGAGCTCTAAGGAAAATACGTGATAATAGAACGTAGAACATGGAACATGGAACATGAAACGCACTATGCCAAGAATATTCCGTAGTTAGCTCTGAGTTAATTGGTTTTGTGCTATTCGTATGTTATAAGTGGAGCAAATTATTGTTTTGTTACTATTTGGGTGTGGACCTGCGCCGTATATTTATAAATTCATATCTTAAATTTTTCGCCTTGAGGCTAACTTATTACGTCGGTTTTTAGAAAATGCATGTCTATAAAAAGGCACTGCAGGCGCTCATATATCCAATATCTTCGACGACTCCACATAATTTTGTACTTTGGACGGCTACCTCGCCGACTTACTGCTATGAGTGCGAGGGATTGCTGTGGGGCATCGCAAGGCAGGGAGTGCGGTGCACAGAGTGCGGAGTCAAATGCCATGAGAAGTGTAAGGACTTATTGAATGCCGACTGTCTACAACGTAAGTCGAAATTTGTATTTCACATTATGTATGTCCATTTTTGCATTATCGATGTGTACTGGTATATAAAGTTAACGTTTGTATTTGTAGGTGCCGCTGAGAAGAGCTCCAAGCATGGTGCCGAGGATAAGGCCAATTCGATAATTACAGCAATGAAGGATCGGATGAAGCAACGCGAGCGGGAAAAACCGGAAATATTTGAGTTGATCAGGTAACGCTTTGAAATAGACCTCATTTGTGGCTGGTGCGGATATTCATATTTATCTATATGTGATGATTAAGAAAACTGAAGTTCTCTGCTAATAAATTTTATTGTATGGCTACTGATGATCCAATAATTGGAAAATGCCTTCATTCATATACGTAGCTTGTGATCGATGAAGTCGATTTATTTCTTTCATTTTCGATTAAAAAAAAAAATATTTCGTGCTAAAAATATTTATTATATAAGATTATATAAATTAAAAGCTCTTGAGTCTCAAACAATAGTGTGTGATGCTAAGCAACCCGAGGTTTCTTCAACTATCAACTGTTTCCTAATAGTGGTCTAATTCTAATTTGATTTCTGTCATAACAAATGCTCGAAAAATCATCATATACACAGAAAAATATAAAATATATATACAGTGTCTCAAATATAAGGAACATATAATATAAAAATATAAAAAGCTTTATGACATGACATGATATGCCCCTCATGCACTCTACTACATACATCCATCCATCCATATAACCTATTTAGAGCCGTGTTCAGCATTGAGGAGAAGAGCCATACCGGCCATATGAAGGCTGTAAAGCAGAGCGTCCTCGATGGAACCAGTAAATGGTCGGCAAAGATCGCAATCACAGGTTTGACATCAATGTGAAAATGTGATTTAACTAAAACATGTTTTTTGCCTTACTAATTATGTATATGAATGTATGTATTTTCGATATGCATTATGTTATATGTATTATATTTATATATATATATATATATATATATATATATATATATATATATATATATATATATATATATATATATATATATATATATATATATATATATATATGGTATGTGAGCATGTATGTAAGTACGAATGCTTGGAAGGTTTTTCAAATACACATATACATAAGAAAAGATAAAAATATTGCATACGCTACAGATGGATAAATTTACTTAAATGTCAATTCGCTTGGTATCTTTGTGTGCGTGAGTGTAAAGTATGCTAGTTACTCTATAATACTCTGTAAAAGATAATATCTGACACGGGCAATCTGGCTCTGACGACTCCCCTGTATAAGAGATCATTTGAATTACTAATACTAACTGCTTGTTGAACGAATAATTGCGTCTAATTGAAATTAAGAATTTCACATAAATATGTACTATATTTACAATAACCTGATTATGGGTGGCGCACCAGCCCAACTAACCAAACAAAAAAAAAAAAAAAGTATATATATATATATATATATATATATATATATATATATATAAATATATAACGATACATTAAAATTTAGTGTTAAGTAATTGAATGGTTGGAGTTTCTTGTCATACGTATATCTGCAAAAATCAATTTCAACTCAAACTTCAAATTGTAATTCCAATTTAAGGATGACATTCGGTGTGGATCCAGATACACACATAGATTCATTAGAACAGGCTGAGCACGCAACTGTTGAGGGAACATCTAAATGGTCATGCAAACTAACAATTACAGGTACACGGGCAATATCAATATGGTATTTGCGACTATGTCTTACGATTTATAAACATATAAACATATATAAACATATATATATATATATATACATATATATATATATATATATATATATATATGTGATCACTATTTACAGTGTTGAATTATTCATAAATTGAACTAAAA